GTATTCCAGACCCCAAATCTGACGGCTCCGGTGGGAGAGAAAAGGTCCCTTGAGAGCTTTAGACCAGTCCACTCCTTCCATCCTTACCACACCCTTGCTGTCAGTATGGCAGGTCCAGTATCTCTTACCCCAACCCCCAGGCTTCTGATCCTCCCGCCCCCGCACACAGATTTTGGGAAGGGAATGCTGCATCACATGTTTTATTCAATCAAACCTCAGTGAGTGGGGGAGCGCCTTGCAAGGAAACACATAAACCCTTTCCTTAATGAAACGTAAGAATATTCACACCACGTGGGAAGATACATCGCACCTTGCTGCTGAGTGAGTTAGGAAATGCCTCTGGTGCTCAGAATGTGGGGGTTGGGTGGTGGATCTGAACGACACCGTGGATCTGTGAAACCCTCACTTTTTGGATGAGGCAACTGAGGTTCAGAGAACCAAGGTAAGGTGCTCAAGGTCACTCCACAAAGGCAAAGAGTCGGGATTCGGACACAGCTGCAGCCAGTTCCACAGCCCATGCTCTCTCCACTGCGTACTCCCGGGCTGCTGTCTGGCCTGCGGCCCAGGGCCAAAGGGAGCAAATGGCAGCCGATTCTGGTGCTCAGAACGATACGCAAGACCAAGTTTTGAAAGAATTTTCTTTCTGGAACAGCAATGCCTCCATCTACTGGGTACACGCGGAATGACGTCTGGCCCACGCAGAGAACTGAAGTTTGCCCCATAATGGATTCTTAAGAAGGGCGGCTGGATTGTCTTCCCCTTCGGTAACAGGTAACTGTCGAGTTGTATTTTGGGTGCCAGGAAGCTGCTTCTAAATTACCCATACATAACCCATCCTTAAAAACAACAACAACAACAAAAACTTCTACTTGCCAGAAATTCTAGAGTGAAAGGTCCAGCTTCACCATTCTCAGTACCTCCTTGTTACCACACCTGCCACCTGCCATCCCAGCTGTTCCCCACTTCTTGCCCTTTCTGGGCGCTTGTGGTACCTGTGTTTTCCATTATAGCACCCGGAGCTGCCTACTGCATTTGTTTCTTTGCTTGCTTCCTCCATAGACTCCCAGCTCCTGCACCTTTAGGGTACTTAGAATATAAAGGGGATTTGGTCACTTCTGAGAGATGAAAGATTAGAGTAAATGTATTTCATTAGCTTAAGACACTAAAAAGTTTGTTCATTAATGATATTCACATAGAAGTCATTGCCAGACTCCTAAATCTCAGTGTAATTACACTTTTAAAGTCCTGTGGATATGAATTGTAGTAGAGGGCAGGAAAGAGCTTGGGGATATTTGTTTCACTAAAGACGGAAGATTGTCAAAGAATCCCAGCACGCAGAATAATTTGTTCCTATGAGTGATTCTTTCCTTTAATTTTCCACATCATCTTTTCTTTGCTCAGGCAATGTCTTGAATTTCTCAAAATAAAGCCCCAAAATGAATTAGTCAAGGAAATAAGAAATTACACATGGAATATGGCACTTTAGAAGTTGGGGTGGGTTGCAAAATAAACAGGTATAGCTATTTTTTTCAGGTTATTTTGTTTTGCGATAGTTTTATTTGGGTAAAATTTACATACCTTTTAGAGAATACAATTCAGTGGTTTTTAGTATATTCACAAAGTTGTGCACCTATTGCCACAATCAATTCTAGAACATTTTCATCATCTCCCAAAGAAACCCCATATGCTTTCACTATCAACCCTCAAGTTTCTGCTACTGACAGACCAACACCCCAGCCCCTGGCAGCCACTAATCTACTCTTTGTGGATTTGTCTGTTGTAGACATTTCATGTAAATAAAATTATATAATACTAGAGGTCTGGTGCACAACATGTGTGCATGGGTAGGGTCCCTCGGCCTGGCTGGCGATCAGGGCCAATCTGTGGGGCCACCAGTGGGGTGGTTGTCCTCCCCTGCCCCCGCTGACACCCGTCTGCAGGCTGGGGGCAGCTCCTGCATTGAGCGTCTGCCCCCTGGTGGTCAGTGTGTGTCATTCTGCCCTTTGGTCAATTTGCATATTAGGCTTTTATTATATAAAATGTGGTGTTTTGTGAACTGGCTTCTTATTTAGTATAATGTATTCAAGGTTCATCCATGTTGTAGCATATATCTGTACTTAATTTCTTTTTTCTTTTAAAAATATATTTTTATTGATTTTAGAGAGGAAGGGAGAGAGAGAGATAGAAACATTAATGATGAGAGAGAATCATTGATCAGCTGCCTCCTGCACACCACATACCAGGGATCAAGCCTGCAACCCAGGCAAATGGCTCGACCGATAATCGAACCATGACCTCCTGGTTTATAGGTCAATGCTCAAGCACTGAGCCACGCCAGCCGGGCCTATAGTTCATTTCCTTTTATGTATGAGTAATATTCTATTGTGTGGCTATATCACATTTGTTTATCCTTTCATCAGCTGGTAGATATTTGAGTTGTTTCCACAGCAGCTGTTATGCATAATGCTACTGTGAACATTCATGTATAGCAGTGGTTCTCAACCTTGGCTGCACATTAGAATCACCTGGGAATCTTTTTAAAATCCTGATTTCTGGGCCTCATCCTCCAGAGATTCTGTTTCTTTGTTATGGGGTGGGGCCACAACATTAGTAACAAAGAAACAGAATTTCTGGAGGATGAGGCCCAGAAATCAGGATTTAAAAAAGATTCCCAGGTGATTCTAATGTGCAGCCAAGGTTGAGAACCACTGGTATATAGGTTTTTGTGTGGACATAAGTTTTCAGTTCTCTTGGGTATATATCCAGGGGTGGAGTTTCTGCATTGAATGATATTTCCTCCCCCCACTAGATTAAAAGCACTCCCAGGACAGAGATTGAAGCATTCATCTCCTGTCCTAGGACTATGTATATGGATGCTCAGTAAATGTTGATTGACTAGAATGAATGAGTAGAAGATATTTGCAATTCTAACGTGAAACTTGGTAAGGAGCTGGGAGACTAGACAGGCAGTGTGAATAAAATGACTCTTTAAAAAAACAAACTGAAATCACGAACAATTTTAACACTGACAGGTAAAATTGCAATGCGGACTTCTCAGAACCCCAGCTCCACGTCTGAATAATGACAGCAACAATACCTCTTAGGGTTGTTGTGTTATAATTGTTTTCATCTGAGGAGAACGCTAACAGACCTGGCATGCACAGTAGGTACTCAATCAATGTTTTGTAGGTAAATTCATTATGGCCCTTCACCCCCAAACCAATCCAAGCTTTGTCCTTCTGTGAAACACTGCTTAGCTTTCTCCTTTAAAAGACTGGTTTTCATCTCACCTTCAGCTCTATCTTTTGCTGCCCAATATGAGATCATTATGCTTGTGTCTACATTCAGGATACCAAGGCAGCTGGTTTAACAAGTAAAAGGAGGAGACTAAGCTAGTGAATCGTGCTCTGATGATGAGAACTGGAAGTGCCACCTCCCCAGTTCTGCCTGGCGACAGCCCCACAAGCTTGTGGTGAGCTGCTCACTCCTCAAGTCTTGTGATTTTTGCCCTCAACTGGGGGCTCGACCGATCTTGTAAAAACATGTGTTGTCTATTTGTAGATATCAAATAGACCCAATCTGCCTACCTCTTTTCGGAGTGTGATTCTTGAAACCATCTGGAGACAAAACTGAGTGAGGGAATTATATGTTTATTTTACTGTTATGTTTAAATATGTTTAAAAATAGGCATCTAGTTGAATCCTTTTAATGGCGGGTTAAATGTTGTGTAATAGGATTATTTCCACACTAAAACGAGTTTAAAATGACAGAATCTCTAACCTCAAAATATTAATGCATTTCAATTACTTTCAAGTTCAGGTACAAAATTCAGGCTAGAACAGAAAAACATCGCCTAGGTCAGTCTTACTTTCCTGACTGGGATAAAAAATAATATGTAACCAGTACATCAAATCAACAGTCTAAAAATTACCAGCCTCAGCCTATTAAGTAAGCAGTGTAATTTTTTAAATTAAGGGTACTTCTAAAACAATGGAAGCTTTCTAATCTGACAAATGGGCAAAAAAAAATTTTTTCTTATAATCTTGTTTACACTATTAATTTCTTTATTATTCACTTTTTTAAATAAATAGAGCAGAGGAGACAATGTCATTTCCTGTTTATGAACAAATCTCTAATTAGCCCTGGGAGAACTGCCCAGTTTTGTTGCAAGGGCCAACAAGTCCCCTCAAGGTCCCCAATCTGTGGTGGCATTTCACAATTCACAGACATGCCCCTCTCCAGGCATCAACCAACAACTGAATCGTAAGATAGCCTTTCACTTTCATGCACCTCCACTCCGGCACCTCCAAGAATCACAGCCACAAGTCTTCCAGCCCCATTCCTGGGGGGCCAAGGAGGCAGAATTTGTAACTTGGAACGGGACCCCATTTGGGAAAGGTAGTTAATTCCTGTGTTACCATCATAGAAAGACCTAGAACTTAGAGAGGGCCTTGAAGAGAATCGTTACCCCTCCTACCACACACCACACACACCACACACACCACACACACCACACACACCACACACACCAGACAGACCTACCTTTCCATTTCAGGATGCAGTCACACACCCCCTCTCTCTGCTCAGCACACCCACACACACACCCACACTCACACACACACCACACACCACACACACACACACCACACACACACAAAACACCACACACCACACACCACACACCACACACACTGCACTGTGGGCCCAGATGGGAACATCAGAAGGTTGACCTGAGCCCAAAGTTTAAGGACATTTTCACTGCGATCATTTGACCAGTTATTATTATTGTTGTTTTTGTTGTTGTTGTTGTTGTTGTTGTTAGAAGGGGGAAAACAGTCAAGAGGGATGTGGGCATGTATATTTCTTGGAATTCAGAGGTTCATGGGGGGAGGGGTGGAAATCCATCAAAAATGCCCTTAGTACAAGAGTTGGCGAAACAAATAGCTTCCTTTAAAAGAAAAAAAAAAAAGCTGAACTGTGTAACAGGAGAAATTCTCTCACAAGAGAGCGTGTTCCTGAGCCAAGCTTCGGCAGAGGAAAATTTTTCCAGCATGTCAGGAACGAAACTGACATTCCACTAAGGAAAAAAAGGGGCTGGAGGGAGAGTTAGGGGGGAAAGGCAGCAGGATTCAGACGGAGCTTTCAATTTTAAATTCCAGACGGGCCCTGGGTGAGGGCTCGCCCCGCTCGGCAGGCACACCACGCCGGTTTCTCTCTTGGGACCCCAGTGGACATTTCCTGTTCAGCCTCTGGAAATTCAAGCCAAAAATGACAAAACATCCTTTTCCCCGAAACCAAGTGCTTGGTTCAGAGACCCTCCCCTCCGCACGTCCGTGATCTCAGCCCTGCCCTCCCCTTCCTTCCGCGGAACCCCTCCCTGACCAGCGGCTCTGCTTCCCAAGGAGAGATGATGGATCTGTAGCAGGTGGTGCGAAACCAGAGAGAAACGACCCTGGGACCAAGGCCGAAGAGGTAGGAACCAGAGGCTGGACATTCTTGCGATCCTTGGACATTTATTGCGCAAAACGAGGCGCTTGTCCTTTAAGCCTTGGGCAGGGCATTTTCGCGGAGGGGTGTGTGGCGTGGGTGGGTGGACTCAGAGAATAAGGTCAGGCGTTTCTTTTCCCACTCTCTTTCCAAATTTAACTTTAATGCCTGGGTCCCTGGAAGCACACGTTTTGTTTGGGTTCTGATGTGAAAAGTGTTATGGCAGAATTCTGGGAATTCCCTTCCTCCTTCCTTCCTTCCTTCCTTTACTTTCTCTTCTTTTCTTTTTTTTACTTTATTATTATTATTATTTTTTGAGTCCCTGGAATGCCAAGGAGCACTTACAAATACCTTCAGCTCTGAATAGATTCGGAGAGAAATGACCGGAATGGGAAGGCTGGGAAAAGGCACTTTCACCCTGATGAACTGGGGTCCAGCTGTTTCCCAGGACCTGGACCGTGTGTTCTTCTCACTCCCACTGCTCTCTTTCTCCTTCCCTCTCTCCCACCCGCCATCATGGATGGGGACACCCTTGAGTTGTCCCTCGGGACATGGAGATGTGGCACATTGAGCATCTGTGCTGTACGTTTGTGGGCAGAGCCCAGGGGCAGTGTCTGTGGCAGAGCTAACTGGTCTACCCGGACAGCCATATGTGGCCCTCAGCTTCCTTAGGGACATGCTCCCAGCTGTCGTCGCTGAAAGGCTAGCTGTGGCAACACATGTGCTGCCATTGGACTGACTGGGAGGACTCAGCATGGCTTCTGGTGAGGAGTACTCGAAAATGATGGAGCGGCCATGAATGAGACATTCCAAATGCCCTTTCTGGGCACTCCCACGGCACTGGCTTCTCTGAACCACACATTTTTCTCCTTCGCCACGTGCTGCTGCGCACTGTTCTGTAACAGCCTAGCAAATGGCAGAATGAAATGAACAAATCTAGTTATAACTTATTAGTTGGTGATCCCAAGACAGCCACTAACTCTTGCTGAGCACTTGCTGTGTGCCAGGCATCATTTCAAGGGTGGTCGGTATCATCATCATCATCCCCACTTTACAGATGAGGAAACTGAGGCAAGAGACACAACTAGCAAGTGGCAGAGGAGGGATTTGAACTGAGGTAGCCCCAGTCTGGAGTCCATGCCACCATGCTCTAAAAAAACCAGGAACACTGGGCTTTGAATCTTGGTTCCAGCATTGTGACTTTGGACAAGTTCAATGTCTTCAGCCTCAGTTTCCTCATCTGTGAAATGGAATAGTCATAACCCCACCTCACAAGGTGCTGTGAAAGGTAAGTTAATTGTAAAGATTATTTTTTCTGAAGCAGGTGAACAATGCAAACACATTTCCTCCCCACTTCCACCCCCTGCCCCCCCCTCCCGCCCCCCGCACAGTCTGAGAGTGTGCTATGTGAATGTGGAGGAATCCCTGGCAACTGAAAGGCTCAAGTTCTGCAGAATGTAGCAATGGGGCCCTGTTAGGTTGGTACCTTCCATCAGGGACATTGGGGTTCAGTTGCCAGCCAGTGCAAGACTGTAGCTGACAGCTTATTAGAATCTAAGCTCCCTAAGGACAGGGTTCGTGTTTTATGTACATTTGTTTCTCTTAGAAAATGTTTCTTAAGCCTCCGTCTAAGGACACTGCTCTTCAGAAGGGACACAGGCTCCCCTTTGGGGAGGAGTTCAACCGGGAGCCTGTAGGTGCTCCAGGAGCCGCCTCTTCCCACTTCCAGCAAAGCAGCTACATCTCTACCTGACTTACATGGCGGGGTGCCATTTGAAAGAACGTTTTAAAAAAAATTTTCAACTGCTGACCTGGAACAAGGAATGTTTTGTCTCAGCTGAAATGACTGATTGTGGGACTGAGTGGGTTTTCAGAGGGATTCTAGCTTGTCCTGTCTAGACTTTCATTGGGGCCTCCCCATCTGCCTCCTACTTAATGATCATCTCCTGCCCTGGGGAGGCACGTGCCTGCAGGCTCGGGAGGTGAGAGCGAGCTTCCCTCTCAGGCAGCCCATCCTCACGTGCAGGGGCAGGGCCCCAGATGGCTGAGATTACAACCTGGCCTCTCTGAGTTTTTTCTGAATGTGCCCTCCTCACTTCTGCTCATAGTTATGAGCTGCCTGATCAATTATCATAATAGCTAGTGTAAATCTTCCTTAATGATAACAGCTTCCTTATTGAGCCATTGTGCTGCGCACATTACACAGATTAACCCATGCCCTCCCCACAAAAGCCCTACAAGGCAGCTTCAGCATGATGTCCCCTCTGCTCATGAGGAAGCTAAAGGCAGAGACACTAAGCAACTTGCTCCAGGTCACACAGCCAGTTAGTGGTGGTGAAGGTGTTTGAACCTCAGCCCTCCCGGCCTCAGATGTTTCTGCTCTTAAACACCTCACCTCGGCAGCTCCCTACCCCTGAGTGGGCGGGGGCTGGGCGGCCCCAGGGTGGCCCGGATGGCGGATGGCGGCGCTC